CCCCAAAACCCCAAAACCCCAAAACCCCAAAACCCCAAAACCCCTTTTTCTTCAAATTCAATTGAATAAAATGTAGATTTAGGAAGCCCATTATTCACGAATTATTCTCCATCTATTGCCTTTCCGAAAAACTCTCTGAGGTAACCATAAAACAGGAATAGGAGAGTGTTGAAACTAACTGCTCTGACCATAAATGGTCTGATTCCATTATAAAGAGAGAGGAAACCATCCTTCTGTACTGTCATCTTCAAGCAGGTCAAGAAGTTCTTGTAGATTTCTGGGTTGTTCATCACTCTTGTCTTAAGAAGATCCACTGGTTGTGCACACAAAGCTCCTGTTATACCTGCAGCGGCTCCATAAAGAATATACAAAGCAGGATGGTCTGGGAGATTGGTCTTAGTCATTATTAACTGTCTAGTAGTATCATAACCAGTCAACTCAGCTGCGTTCATGAAGGCATTACGTCCAATGTTAGTTCCACATCCTTTAAAGTATCCTCTAATGCCTCCTTCTCTCATATAAATCTTCTTGTAGCAATCCAAGACTCCATCGTAGAGCTTGGACTTGTTGACATCCTGCATCCGGATCTTAATCAGATCGAAAGGAGAGGCAAAGAAGCAGGCAATACCCCCACCAATCACTCCTGCAAATATCTTCTTGTGAAGAGGCGTGAATTGTAGTTCTTCTGGTGTAGAGCATGACCAATTTTTAATTGGATCATATAAGGACAATTTGATTCCTGAAAAAACACATTGTCGCTGACAAGCGGGAATAGTCCCTTTCCAGAGCATCCTAGTTCCTTGTTCCCTAGCGATAGTTTTCAAAGTAGAAGTGACTGAGGAATACTTCCCAGACATTCCATAAAGCATCATCCGCACCTTAGCAGTATCTAGGGGGATAGTAATAGTCTCAGACATGCATGAGGCACAGGCTCCAGAAATGAAGCCTACTAAATAAGAGTCATTCTTCACTCCTTTAGTCAGATTCTTTTTATCCTTGGCTTCACTCATTTTTATTATTATGTTTTGTTACACACGCCTGATATGGGGTTTTGGGGTTTTGGGGTTTTGGGGTTTTGGGGTTTTGGGG